TATTGTGATATCACGCGCTAAAGCGGTATTCACATTCATATTCACATAAGGTGATTAAGTGTGCTAGAATATCCCCTTAGCACTTTAGCACGATTGACATCACTTTAGTACTTTAGCACCGGTGATATCACCCTAGCACTCTACCACCTTTGATATCGCGGACCGTTTTTCCATGACCTCAGTTGCCATCGGTCATAATCAATGTCACAGTCCTCGTTGCCGCCTCTGTCAAGGCCCATATCAGTAATTATACCCATGCCACGCCGTTACGACCATCCTTCGCTGTGATTCTGTGGGTCTGGCCAAATGGTGAAAGTTGGCCAGCGATGTGCCAAACGCCTGTCAGGAAGCCCCAGGACAAAAGCCAATAAACTCCAGCCTAATCCCTGCTGTACTCCAAGGTAGCATTGGGGCCGACCTTTGTAATGACGCTTCGCAAAATAAACCCACGATACTGTTGACAAGATCTGTCACCCAAATTATCCTCAGAGTACCATTGGAGCGCCTAGTACATCGGGCCAGTCTGTCCAATAAGAAATCCAGAGCTACCACCTGAGCTTATTACTTTACGCAGTTCAAACGCACCAATACATGGTTGAACGGCCTTTGTTCCAGAGCCACGCCACATGCCGCCCTCAGAACGCTGGGGCGACATAGTGATCCGGGATGGTAGAAGTTGTTTGTTCTCTACACAGAGTGGATCCCCAATACCCTTGCAAATAAAGAGCAATTTTTTGCGCATAGCGTCGGCTATCATGACTAAACTTACCCGAAAGTTAAATTCGGACGAAAGGAAGGTTTTTTGGTATTAAAAAGAGAGCTGCAGACGGAGTGTGCAGCACTCGCAAGAACAACAATAATGATTTTATCAACAAGCTTAGTTAACATGAGTCTCATAACGTGACACTATACGGAGTGGATCCCCAATACCTTTGCAAATAAAGAGCAATTTTTGCAACGAAGATGGCCCAAGCTGAACCTACGCATCGAATTTCACGGCCACCGGGTGACGACTTAAGAGTAACGAAGATGGCCCAAGCTGAACCTGCGCATCGAATTTCACGGTCACCGGGTGACGACTTGAGAGTGGAAAGCAGGAATGGCAATGGAGCGGAAGGATATGTTGGAGTTCCCCCATTAAGCCGGTCAGTTGGCTTCCCAAACCTGTTACGGCCTGCCGTACTGTTACACCACATAGGCAAAAAGGGTAGGTCAAAAATCGCAATTCTAGCAATTATTTACGGCAGTTGGTAATTACTATAAGGCTACCGTGCTAGGACCGTCACAAACCTTACAAACTTATTCCCTTACCCTATACAAGAACAAGGCGCAGAAAGATGGCCGAGATAGGCGACGAATTTAAGCATATTCGCTATCTAGGTATAACTAACCTAACAGTACGGACAGGTGGGATACCTAACAAATCGAGTTTCTGTAACTATAGACGTTGCGAACTTACAAATGCGGTCAGATTGTCATATATTGTAGCCCAATTTTAGCATCTGCCTATTTGACATTACTAACTCAGTGAAAATCGCATGGATTGTTGTTGTAAGCAGAATGATCACAACCCTGCGAGCTTTCTTCTCAAGGCAAATGACGCTGCCAATCGGATTGATCGTGTGTGAGACAGAAACGGATGCTGGCTTACTGATGAGAAGAACTGCCTGACATGACGGATATGCGGGGGCACTTACAGTGACTGCAGGTAAATGCCCTGCCTTGAGAAGACCTAGAAATGCAGCCGCTGATTGTGACCATTTTCGGTGACCGCCACCGAGACCTTCCATGATCTTATGGAGGAACAACGCCACATAGGGCATCCCTGCTGTCCTGGTATGCTGATCCTGCATTGGCTCGTAGCTCCAATCGAGTACTACCTGCTTTTAGAATCCCATTTTGCCACAAAAGGATGGACGTAACTAACCAATCTTAACATCACCACTGGAATTCACCCGTATGGAGTCGATGCGAAATCCAATCGAGAGGAAAAGCAATCTTTGAATGCCTCGAAGAACCTGCGTCCCATCAGTATACACCCACCAGCCGAATGGAGTGAAGTGTTGTTTAGGGCTTACTTGCAAGAAAGCATTGGCAATTTCCTTGTCGGCAAGGGGGCCAATCTCAAGAATGTCTAGGTCGATATATTCGTATGTTGCGTAGAACTTGCCCTTTTGATGATAGAGCGCAATGACTCTCGCTACATTAGGCACAGCAATCTGCGATAGGCATTTCAAGTCCAATAGCCCTGCATTTCTCACCTCCTGTATGACAGCCAGCTTGCGGATATGGTTTTTCCGACAAACACCCACCCATGCCGTTGTTCCTGCAATGGTAGCATCTCCTGGAACAGGAAAGTAATCTTCGTTTGGGTGCCGACAAATCAGCACCACTGGGTACGCGTTGGACACGCGAAGGTGGAGTTGCTGGAAAGCTGGCTTGCGGCGTAGCATTTTGCACTGTGTGGTGGTCTGAGGCAGTCTTGAGAGGGAGCAAGAGGAAGTTGGATTATTCTCATTTACAGAGGATGCGATTGAATTGCTACTACATGTGTAGTACATAGGGCTTATTGACTGTCTATTATACTACTTGATTATAGCTGTTACGTACTGTACAGCATCGTGCATATGTCATTGTGTTGGCTCATTTACCGTGCAGAACCTTCGCAATGCAATGCAGACAAAGAGTAGAATCACCTAAGGAGTCCGGAGCAGATTCTGTCTCAAACAGAAGTGGCAAGTTATGGCCACTTGGACAGCCCAGGTTCTCAGGCGCAGTTTTCCGCCGTTGGTCCCCAATGTACGTGGCACGTCAGGGGTAGCGTGATATTGTAGTTGGAGCCTGTAGTGCGAATAGTGACTTCAAATGATTTTGCGATGCAGAATTCTGCGGTCAGGAATGGCTCTGCCATGAATTCTATGGAGACAGTGGATTTAAAGGCGGATAAATATCGACCTTTGTCAATTAGAGAAAGTCAATTCAGAACATTAAGGCAAACGGCCAGACGTCGCTATGGCAGGCTCCACCAGTCAACCTCAGTCTAACAGCTCGCAAATTTTCCAAGTTTGCGCTACCGCAATCGTTCAAAGCCAAACGCAAATGCAGCAGTCGCGATTGTACGCAGAATCTCAACGCCAACTCGCAGAATCACACAAAAAAGAGGCAGCCTCGCTTCGCTCAGAGCTGCAGCAGCTACGTAGCGCTATTTTTTACGTGCAAAGAGAGAGAGATGGAGAAAACAGCAAATGCACCATTCTGCAAGAGCTGATTGACACTCAGCGCTGTATCATTCGAGACTATGAACGACAGCGCCAGGGTCAGATATCCAGCCACCTGCAAGAGCCAATGAACTATGAGTCAAATCTTCAACAATTCACCCATGTCCCTGTCACTCAGGATAACCCTGTTGAGACTGGTGGAGGCGAGCCAGGGGGCCTGCATGTGGGCCAAATGGAGTAACTGGGGCTTGGTTTTCTTTTGGGAAACAAAGCAGCCAAAAGGCGCATCGCGATTTGTATGGGCCGTTTCTGTCTTGCCGCACGGCCCTCCGGATGGGACGGTCCGGTTCCGTTGGATTAGCAACCTATATAGCTCAAACTCAACAGCCTGTTTTTTCTGATGCTGATGCCTTGTCCCTTTCATTTTTGCTTGTCTGTTTTTGGCTTCTGAGCTACCTCTTTAATTGCGTGACATCTGCTCGCTCCTCTTGCAGGGGACGGGGGAGACCGAATCTGTAAACAAGCGGCGTACTTGACATCACAATGTGGAAGAAGCTCCGATGGTCTAAGTCAGGCCGTCGAGGCCATGGCCAAGGCCATGATGATACATTTGAAAGTTGTTCCTACCAGGGCATTCGATTTGATTCTGATCGACCACCACCTTCAACCTCAGATGATTTGACCGTCCAGTCACTAGGCGGTACAACCGCGGCGTCAAACAGAAGCCCCGAAGTCCTCCAGGCAAGGAAAGCTCAAACTATAATGAAGCGGCAAATGCACGACATGACAGCAGTCCAGCTGAAGCAAGAGATTGAACGGGTGGTGCGGGAGAACGGTGCCCTGCTCAGCGAAATTGACTACTTACAGCGTCGATTAGCTTATCTCGAACCCTTGCTGCCAAAAATCTACTTTCTTGGGAACATGCTTAGATCTGTCGCGGGCGATGCCGAGCAACCTGGCAGGGAGATGTCCGCTACGACTCCACAGCACACCCCAGGGAGCCCAGGGCCGTAGAACTTGGTTGGTTGAGAAAGATGAAAAGCTGGCGCCTATGGAACGATAGACTGAGTGACATTGCCGCGAGACGAGATCGACACACTGAGCCCAGCCAGCTAAGTCTGTAGTAGAGTTTGGGCATAGTTTGGAAGACGGCCAGTGCCGAATGAGAGATTGCAATAGATCTTTTTCTATTTTTTGTCGAATAAGTATCTAGTGATAAATCCTTAATTTGCTAGAAGCGATTTATAAACCTCTGCTGGGGAGCACGGAAGGATTCGAGGCACCAAAAGTCCACCTGCAAATGTACCAAAACTGACGACCATTTCCATCCACGGTTTCTTTCACCCGCCCTCAGCAACTTTGCTTGTAGTCAATCAGGACAAAAAGCGAATCCGGGACTGCAGCTTACAACCCCTGGCAGTCGGGTACACAACTCGCGTCCTTTGAACCACCTGCCACAACATCGCCTAGCACAGCCTTCATGAGGTGCATAGGTGCGGTGGGGTTTTTTCTCCCATAATCCTTGCGAACGCTCAAAGCTCAGTTTGGACTACCCGCTTCCGGATCTCAAGGTCAGGTAGACAGACCTGCCTGCCAAGACCGAAGCAACTCCACCGGCAGTTGATTCAAAGAGCCCATTTTGGACCAGGGCTCTCTCGTGCAGGGATTCCTCCGATTCATCCAAATTTTGGCCCACACACAGGGCACGATATTTGAACAAGGGGCCTCATACATTACAGGGGCATTTAGCGACTGGGAATCCATGTTTGTAGGAAGGGACGCCTTATTCTGGCCCTAGTCATCATCTGTGCACCTATCCACACTCCGCCCTTTTGTCCATCCACTAAACGCGCTCTCATTCCTGAAATGGGCTCTTGGACGGCTTGCTTCGTCCAGTTCTAGCTCCTCGAAATCAATGTACTGGGTGAAACGTAGGAAGTCTTTTCGTGTAGTCTTCCAAGAGCTAGTACTTATCTACTCAGTTACTCGATCTTTTGTGACCCTTAAGACAGACA